AGTATTTATTTATTTATATATATATATTTGATAATTTTATTATATTGGAAAAACAATGTCCTCAAAGGATCTTTTGATGCATCAGAAAGATAACTTAAAGTTTTTCTTAAGGTGGTTCTCTAAAATAAAACAGGTTAAAATTTTGATGTCTGTTTGTTATCTATATCAATATTTCTCAACTTATTTAAAAGAGAGCCTAATTTTTATATGCGTCTTACGGTGCCCAGAATTGGTTAGGAAATTTAGTTAAATACCTCGATATTATGATATGGAACGTCGCTGTTTTGGGGAGGCGGATATTCCTAACTTAAATCTAACATATGTCCTATAAATATTTTTAGAAATGTTTAAAAATTTTTTTGTAACTATATCTAAAAAAATTGGATTTTAAGGCATTAACTATTGAAATATTTATAAAAGAGATTTTAAAACGCTTTAAGTCCAAATCAATTTTGTAAAATCCAATATATTGTGGTCTTTTTTCTGCAAAACTAAGGGCTGTGTGAGTGTGGTTTTGGAAACTTGGTAACTAGATCCGAATCTTCCATCAATAAACATTTTAGTTTAAACATGTTTTTTAATTAAGTGTCCTGATTGATTAAAGTGTTTTTCAATTTTAGTTCTCCTGGGGAATAAAAAAGGTTTGTTGTTTTGAATCTTTTACGTGATTCCAGGTTTTGATTTATGATTTTCATTGAAACCCGAAATTTTTCATAAAGCAATTATATATATTTAGTAAATATTTTCATAAGCTACATACAAAAATATATGTTTGTATTTTCAGTAGACATATATATATATATATTTATATACATACATACATATACATATATTTATTTTAAAAATTTTAAAAATTTTCAGTTATCTGTATATACACACACATATATGAATTGATATATATATATATATATATATATATATATATACATACATACATATATATATATATATATATATATATATATATATATATATATATATATATATATATTAATTTAATAAAAACAGACAATCAATCCATTGATTATATTTTACAGGTGTTTTTTCCTGGTTCAATTATTTCACAGGAAAAATGGTAAACTTACGTATTATTTTTATACAAGGGGTAATGATTTAAATGGCGGAGACATCCATCATCGCAAATCTAATTAAGAAATAGTATATATAAATATATATATATATAGCTCCAGATCTTTCTTAATATGTATATATAGAAAAAGTTGCAATGAAAAAATAATAATCCTTTATTTTTATTTATATATATTTTTGATATTTCAAATTGTCCATTAACTGTTTATTTTTGTTAGCAAGTAGCGTCGTCTGTTCCGTCACGTGATATGGAACATCGCTGTTCGGATATTCCTAACTTATAACTGTAGATGTTTTAGATGTTTAAAATTTTTTTTTACTATATCTAAAAAAATTGACAACTATTGAAATATTTATAAAGTTTTAAACGCCCAAAAATGCTAAATTTAAAATATGAGTTTTTTTTTCTGGTTTTGGAACGCGCCTATCAATAAACATTTGCAGTTTTTTCTGAGTTTGATTTTAAAGTTTTAGCTATGGGGAATAAGGTGTTTTGACGTTTGGTTTGTTTATGATTATTGAAACGAAATATAAAATTATATATATTTATATAATACATTATACATATATATATATATATATTTATATACATACATACATATACATATATATATTTATATACATACATAATATATATATATATATATATATAAACATACATATATATATATATATATATATATATATATATATAAATTTACAATAAACGTGCAATCAATTTACAAATACATGAATTATTCACACAAAACTAATGCAAAGGTTAATGATTTAAATGGCGAGACATCCATCATCGCAAACAATTTAGTATACAAAAACTCCAGATCCGTTATGAATGAATTGATCCTTGTTTATAAATTTTCGTATTAGTTGTTATTTTTACTACAAGCTTTCGTCTGTTCCTACAGACATCTTCAGGTATAGAATAGAGAAAAGAACAAGAAAAACATATGCTTGTTGTATCCGAAAATGCTATTGAAAATGAGTTATTGGTTTTGGAACGCGAAAGCAACGAGTTTGATTTAAAGTTTCAAAGTGTTTAGTTTAAAAATATGGTGATGAACAAATTTTTACTGGTAAATTCTTCTGTCAAAGGGCATGAAATATTGTTCAATAAACAAATGTCGATTATCTAAAAGTCGCACATGGATCAGTTATTTAAATTACAATAAACGGAATCAATTTACAAATACATGAATTATTCACACAAACTAATGCAATTTCAATAGCATTTTCGGATATTATTTTTCGTTGACCTCTTATTACTAAGAGAAAAAAAGAACAATTGTTTATACGAAGATGTGATGGAAAGCTTTGTAGTAAAAGGAACAACTAATACGGCAGAAATTTATATAAACAAGGATGCCATTTAAATCATTAAACCTTTTGCATTAGTTTTGTGTGAATAATTACATATATATATATATTTATATATATTATATATACATACATATATATATATATATATATATATATTATATATATATACATACATACATATATATATATTTATATATATATATATATATATTTATATATACATACATACATATATATTTATATATATACATACATATATATATATTTTATATACATACACACACACACACATACACACATATATATATATATATATATATATATATATATATATATATATATATATATATATATATATATATATATATATATACCTTACTACTATATATAAAATTGAAGCATGTGTTATTAAAAACTACGGAACTTTTCCGTTTAATATTCTTTCTCTAAGTTTTTTCTTGCTTTCTCATAAGTTCCTTTATATTTGGAAACCTATGTTTTTGAAAAAAGACCCCAGTCCTTGTTTTTTGTCGAGCGCTTTCAGTTGTTGTCAACCGTCATCATGGCTGCATGTTTCGGTTTGAAGTAAGTTGGTTTTTATTTTTATTTTTTATAGATAATATATTTGAGTATTGGGCCAGTGTTGTTGGATTAATTCATTAGCAATTTGAAGGAGGTTGGTATTTATTATTTGGAGGATTAGTCCTTAAATATTTCTACCAGTATTAAATCCTATTTTATTTATGTTGGGTTTTGGGTTTTTAATTGTGATAGGGTCAAGAATTTGTAATCGGTTTTTGCAATTGTATTTGTAGAAGAATTTGGAATTTTTGATTAGGATTTTTCTTATTTCGGAGGATTTGAATCTGTCATTAATCTTAATACGCATATATATAGGAAAACGACATGTAAATCCTTATATACTAAGAAGAATTTTAGGATTGGAAACAGTTTTCGTGCAACCTGTTTCAGCTTTTAAAACTTCATTGGACTAAAAGTGATGTTTATGTTGATGCGACGACGCATGCGCATGAAGGAAAAGGGACGCTGTGAATTATAAAATTTTTTAAAATATAGTCTAACAGATTTCAATTAGTTTCTGTTTCTTTTTGTTCATGTTTTCCCCACTTTTGTCATTAAATATCCCACATTGTGATAATACAAGATCTGCTAAAGTATCTTATATATTTGCCATTCATTCTGCATTTTTATCCACCTTTACTTATAAATATTTGTGTGCGCCTGTAAAATTCGCAACTCTTTGGGTCATGTCAAGTTTGGATTATTTAACTAAATCTGTCGTGGCCAGGTATTGAACTCATAAATCTTTGGGTCAAGTCACGTTTGGATTATTTCAACCAACGCTTTTATCCACTGAGCGATGGGCTTTTGGGGAAATTGATTTTTTATTCTTTTCTCTTTTAGATTTTATAATTTAAACCTTGATATATTATTTTGTCTTTTTTCTTTTTTATGGTAAAAATTGCGTCAGCTGCTTTTCTATATTCTCTCTCTGTTTATGGTTATTTTTGTTGCTGTTATTTTAATTTGCTTAGACGTCCTCTCAGTATATTAGCAAACTGGTCGATAAATTCGAATCGGTGTTTATTCTTTTCTGTTCACTATCAAGAGAATGTCTGCATATTGCTTTTGAGACCAAAAGGATTAACTTTTTTTTTATTCCTTACTGGCATATTGCTTTGTTGATACAAATTAATTCCGACCTGAATCAGAATTGTTATTTCAGCAGTCAAGAATTACAATAATAGGTGATGGTTGATTTTGCATTTCACATCGACGCTTTTTAAACCACAAAATCTTCAATAATTTTGACCGATGTTCCTACAAGCAGAATTAGTTTCCTGTTATTTTGACATTAGTGGTGGCTATAAAAACAACGAATTCAGAATAAAAATACCTCAAACGTTTCTTTTATCAATGAGCAAATATCAACTCTTCCCATTGCTATTCTAAATGGATCAATTTCCACCTCTTTTTAGAATGTTCTTTTAAGTACGGTGTCCGTTCAGAACGTTCACAATAATGACTCATCACGACTTTTTAGCTCTAAGCAATGATTGTCTTCTTACTATATAATTCAGTTCATGACTGCTACACAAGTTCCTTAGGTAGATTGCCTGTTCGCGGCTTTTACCTTTTCCTTCGATACGCCCTGTGAATCTCAACATCTCCAAACCTTCTCACCCCACTTATTTGTCCCAGAACTTTCATCTGTCTCTTAAAAGGTTCTTATTTCCATTGTCCTTAAAATTTCCTGGTTGTTCGCATGTTCCGTCCATGGTATTCTCAACATCTTTCTGAAGAACGTGATTGTTGCGTCAAGTCTCTGTGAAGAATTTGGTCAGCATTCACTGCCAAAGACGAGGATTGATATTGCATAACTGTTGAGTATACTTATCTTTGCGTCTGTCAAAATTTTCCTGCTTCTTAATAATTCGATTAGCTTTTGGAAAACATCTTTTGCCATTGTAATCCCCTTTCGAACAGATTTTAAAATATATTATAGTTTGATTCTTGGAATTTCTTCGCCTTGCACCAGAAAGGCAAGTAATCAGGAAGGAAGGCAATAAAGGTTACGGCCATATCACGTTGAAACATCGGTTCTTGTACGATCACCGAAGTTAAGCAACATCGAGCCTGGTTAGTACTTGGATGGGTGACCGCTTCAGAATACCCGCTGCTGTAAGCTTCGATGTGCGGTTTGTCTAATAAATAACGGCTTGGAATTGGAAATCACAGAGTCGAGCTCCAATTCCAGTTGGGTTCGTTATATGCATTTACGCCTAAATGCCATTGAGAAAGGGGATGAATCCACCTCTCCTCCACACTGACTATGGGTTAATTAAACGAACTGATATCAGTACATGATTATTATCTCCAAAACATTTTTACAATCTAAAAAATATTTCCTGGCTTTAAATAATCTGAAAAAGGTTGATAAGCCGTAAAAAACAAGCCAATCAAGATTCGGTTAGTACGGATTCAGATTCAGTGGAAACAGGACTAACAGTAACTGAGCGGTACTAAAAGGAGAACAAGATACCCTCGTAGATTAAATGAAGGTTTCAGTTTTGAAATTCTGCAAAGACGGTCGGAGATACAACGGTCAAAACGTGGTGATAATAAAAGCAAATTTGAAGATACTAGGCAGAATGTAAATATGATGTGGACCCAAAGTTGGGACCACGGAAGGAAAACACGGAACACGGGTTAGAGGTAAGGAAGATATATTAAACAAAAAGGTTACAAAGATAGTGTAAGGGTAAGCGGAGCTTACTATGTGCTAGTGTCCAATATTGGTAGTCGTACGCGACTGATACTACGGTATTAGAATATATATATATATATATATATATATATATATATATATATTCATTCTCTCTCTCTCTCTCTCTATATATATATATATATATATATATATATATATAGTCCTGGAAGAGTCTATGTTGTAGGTATGTTACGGTCTCACAATAAAATACTAATAATTTCTTATCCTAAAACTTCAGAGAGAAGATGCTTTTGGAGGGGTGAGTAATTTTTGTCGTCATTCACAACCACGCAAAACTGCTCATGCTCTTCATCTTGTTCACGGGGAAAGCGGATTAATTATACCGACAATAATAATGTATTTACATACTAACGGACCTCTGGCTAGATTAATCGTTAATGAGTTTCTTTGGTTAACCATTATTAGTGAATAGCAAGTACGATGATCACATGGATCCCAATGTGGCCTTGCGTCAAACGAAACAAAACAAGCAGCAGCGGGACTGAGTATGTGGTAATGCATGATGAGTTGGTGTGGTTGAGCATTATGAATGTGTAGCGAGTTCAATCCTCATTCGCTACGCATTACTTATGGCCTAAACGAAACTATGATTTGTATATAACTACGACGCGATTTCGTTTCAATCTACGGTGGCGACATTTGGTCGAAAAGTTCTTTTTTTTTTGCCTACTGAAAACATTTCTCAAGTCAGCAATAAACGTTTTATATTTTTTGCCATCATTTATCACGCATATCTTATATATATATATATATATATATATATATATATATATATATATATATATATATATATATATATATATATATATATATATATATTGCATATGTGCGTGTTTGTTTATTGGTTTTGTTTTCACTCTGTTTTCTTTCTGCTCGTGTACCTTTTGGCAAGTCTTGGAAAAATAAAGCGAGGTTGATGGAAATTCATCTTTGGAATCATCACCCTCTTGAAAGTGATCAACGTTTTTTTTTCTCTTCTTTTTAAAAACATCGACCACTAGTTAATTGCTTTTCTGTGCTGACTGAATAAAACAAAGAAAAAAGAAAAAAGAAATAAACATTGAAAAATAGTAGAAAACAAAATACAATCATGGATGTGGGGACAAGAGAGAAAATACGCCGATTACCATTTTTATTCTTTCATTTACAATTTTTTCCTTTCAAATTTTTTCTCTATTTATTTTATTCTTTATTCGCTTTCTTTTCTCTTTTTTCTTTATCTTTTTATACTTCTTTTTACTACTTTTTTTTAATCTTCATTCTCTTAATTTTTATGCCAATCCCAAACCACTATTTTTTTCTTTTTATCAGATTTCTGATTCTCTTTTTCTTTCCGTTTTTCTTCGGCTTTTTAAGTTCTTTCTTATTGTCTTTTGTTTTCTATTTCTTTCTTTTTAATCGCACTTCATTAACATTCTTTCTTTCTTTCTTTCTTTCTACACCTGTCTTCTTTCTTTCTTTCTTTCTTTCTTTCTTTCTTTGCATGCCTTATACGTTTTATTTTTTTCCTCTCCCATTTTGTACTTTGCTGCGCCTTCAACGGAAGTCTGTCGTTTTTCTCTTGTTCTTCTTCATCATTTTTTTGTTCCTTTTTTTATTTATTTTTTCTTTCTTTCTTTTGTTAGTCTTTTCTTTTGCTATTTTCTTTTTTCTTGTGTGTCTTATACTTTTTAATTTTTCTCCTTCATCAATGTTACATCTGCAGAAGTCTTCGTCTTTTTTCTTTTATTTTTCTTTTTTCTCTTTTTTGATTTTTTTCTATCCTTTTACGCCTTCATTATGAACGTGTTTTAATTTTTCTTTCTTTTTTTCCTTCTTTCTTTCTTTCTTTCTTTCTTTCTTTCTTTCTTAATATACCTTTTTATTTTATGGCTACGTTCTCTTTTCTCTTACACTTTTATTATTTTTTCTGATTCGTTTCTACTCTTTCCTTCTTTCTACTCTTTTCTCCTCATAACTTCCTATTTCTTTCCTTCTAAACAATTTATCAACGTCTCTTTCCTCTTCCTTATATATTCTAAATATAATTTTTTCCCCTGTATTCATTTCTCTCCATGGGTCATACAAGTTGTGTTATTGAATCGTGTTTATTATCCGTTACATATTTGATGATGAAAGTTGGGTGGTCATGTTTTCTTTGTCGATGTTGGCTCTTATAATGACAAGGTATTGTTAGTAGATAGAATTTTTTTATCTTGAAGCAATCAAATATGTCCGACCAGATTAGGCAAAATGGATAACGAAAGATACAACAAAATATTTGTGATATTGAAAAAAAAAAAACAAACAGTCGAAAGCAAGTACTTGACAAGTTAAGAGAAATCAGTGACGAGATTAATTGAAAGAAGAAAATGAGAAAGATTAAATGAGAGCATATAGAATGAGAAAGAAAGGGAGTGAGAAAGAAAGGAAGAGAGAAAGAAAGGGAGTGAGAAAGAAAGGAAGAGAGAAAAAAGTAAGGAAGAAATGAGTGGAAAAGGAAGTCAGGAAGAGAGGAAAAAGAAGACGAAATGAAAATGATAACGAGGGGGAAGATATACAAGATGGCAACATACAGGCAGATAGATAAGTTAAGATAGATCAATTGACAGGTATTAATATTAAAGATTCAGCACTTATACCAGCACTGGTACACATAACGCTTTATACTTGCAAGATTATAGAAGCTTATAAATGTATTCACCAACTTATAGCTCCGCAGTTAGTATCTATCTATCTATCTATCTATCTATCTATCTATCTATCTATATATATATATATATATAAGTTAATGCTCAGAGTTGAATTAGACCAAACATTAGACAGTAGTATTAAAAAGGGGCTCAATACACATACATGTAGAACTTTTAAGCATACAAAATTAGCAAATCAACCGATTCCATTACATTGGTTTCAACTTTTCGGTATCTTCAAGCGATTTCGGTCAATTGATTTTCTAACGATGTATTTTTTTTTAAAAAAAAAATGAAAATTTATGAACGCTATATTTAAAAAATAAAAAATAAATGAATAACCTCACAACGCGAAGTGTGGTAGAAAGTGAGGAGAATAAGGAGGAGGAGGGGAAAATCAGGTGTATTGGAAATATATTGGTGGGGGGGATTAAATGAAATAAATAAATATACATACGTTCTTTCTATCTCACTTCAAATGAACTAAAAAGGAACATTTTAGCATGCATACAACGGGACATAATTTCCGATATCAGGTTCCAAAGGATTTTTTGGTCTGGAAAAGTTATTATAGCTAATTTCTCTTGTTGACAAAGGTTGCAGATATTGCTATGATTGTTGTAAGGTTTAACATTTTAAAAATTTTCCTGTTAACAATCGGTTCTTTTTTATTTTTCTCCTTTAATTTTCACACATGGTTGACTTGTTTAGTGAGGCTTTCTAGTTTAAATGATGACTTATGGTTGTACCACCTCTTTTTAAAGTTATCCTCAGTACACCCTAAGTATATTTTTTCTGATCATTTGTATCAATTACCGCTTTACTGCTTCATTTTTGCAAACTTCATCTAATGGACATCTCCTTTTATCTGTACAATTCCATATATTTCTGTTAACAATGTTTTAATGCTCGTTAGTTTTGATATATATATATATATATATATATATATATATATATATATATATATATATAGTGAAGAAATTATGGTGGATTTAGAATAATCATATATAGTAATTCATCGAGCCCAGAATAATCTTCAACAGAATGCATTTATCCTATTTGTGACTCAACAGCGGTGCACATCCACTATCGAGAATCGAACCCGTTTCGATACATCGTAAACGTCATACCAACTGTACCATGGGCCTCGGTGACGAAGAAGACACAGACTAGACTTGATATAGCGCCCCTACTCACTCAGTTCCGCAGCGATACTCATCCAAATATACGGATAATCTCGGAATAGCGCCCCAAGAGCTATATCTGCTTATTGACACTTAGCCCTTCTCACGAGCATTAGGTGGGTCAAGCAAGGCATGTCTGATTGAATAAAATTACAGACATTATGTCTTCTAATTTTTAACAAAATCCGTTCATACTCACGAATAACATTCCGTGTATTGATATTAAAAGATGAGAGAAGTGTGCCATAGCTGTTTAAATTTCTTTTATTTTCATTTTCCAAGTACTTTCGATCTTCTTCCAAGATCATCTTCAGGAGTGCAAGTAGTACAAAACTGTTTAGGGGTACAAGTATTTATAGAAAGCTGTGCGTTGCTATCCATTATCGTACTTTTTCATTATGCTTTTAAATGTAAACGATTGACAATCCATTATATATATATATATATATATATATATATATATATATATAACATGCAGTGGAAAAATTATATTGAATCAACTGCTAAGTTTGCTGCTCGGAAAGTTGGGTCATTGTGTCGTGCTAGACAACTTTTCTCGCCAGAATCTATCGAACACACTACTATTTGGCCATCCATGCATTGAATATTGATACCACATCAGGTCTGGTACTCCTGCTGTGTATTTAGAGGTTCTTGATAAAATACAAAGAAAAATCGACAATTTTACACCGTCGTAATGTAGCTTCCGGCTGCCTTTTCTATTAATACGTTCATGACAATTGTTCTGATGATCTTTCCTCTCTGATGCCTAGACCTTATAAATTTAAGCGTAGGACTAAATTGGCGGCAAGCTATCATTATTTTAGAATTGAAATGGCTAATATAACCGTAAGTACAATGCTAACTGGACTTTATGAATATAAGCGGGATACTAGATTGGCGGCAAAGTCTCATCATTTTATATTTGAAATGGCTTGACGCAACCGTAAGTTCTATGATAGCAGTTTCTTCACTCGGACTTCTCGCTTGTGGAACTATGTTCTAACTTCTAAACTTCCCATTACAATATGATCTTCAAAAATTTAAATACAATTTCAATCGTTATCGTCTGTCTTCTTATTTCTTGTTCTTTTTCTTTTTCTTGTTCTCTCGCCTTAATATTTTCTTCCTCGTTTTTTCTCACATCCAGTAGCACCCTTGCATCTTAGTGGCCTTATTTCCTTGCTTGGGGTGAAATGATAAAAAATATTTGTAAAAAAAAAAGAAAAAAAAGAAAAAAAAAAACGAAGAAATAATCTAGTAAATGCAGCTCTTTAAAAAAGTATTCAATATCGCTGATAGATTTAAGTATAGAAGAAATATTAAAGTTGCTTAAACTTTTGGTCGAAGTAATTCTCCTCTGTGCTATCCTCAGTTTCATGGTCATACAATCATCAGACACTAAACATTTGTGAAGTACCATATATAGAGTGCTTTAAACAAGAGTAAATCTTCAATCTCACTTTTATTTAATCTGTTTGAATTACTGTCATCTACAGCTGATAATGCAGAATGCTTTTCTTGTAAATTCTCTTCCAACTCAACTCTCGACACATCAGGAATATCTTTGCTAGATTTTACCCAGAACGGAGAGAGATATGCACATAACTCCGTCCATTATTTCTTCTATCATCTTCTAGATCCCCACAAAGCATGCGGACTTGAAGATATCCCTGCAATTATCTTAAGGAAATGTGCCCCTGAACTGACCCCTATTTTCTTCAAACACTACCATAAATGCCTTCCTGCTTCCTGCTTTCCGGCTTTTTGGAAATCCTCTGATGTAGTTCCTGTCTTCAGAAACTCTGGTGAACCTTCTGATCCCTCGAATTATCGTTCTGTTAGTCTTTTACTTCATTTTTAGCAAAGTTCTAATCAACTCTGAATTGGTTAAGCATCTCACTTCACACGGACTTTTCTTCAGATAAACAATACAGCTTTGTTCTTCTCTAGACTAACCGCCATTGAATTTGTCTACCAAAAGATAAATATCTATTTAGATAAGAACGGTGAGGCTCGGATTGTTGCTTTAGATATTTTGAAGGCGTTTGACAGAGCTTAGCATGCTGGTCTACTTCACAGGTTGAACGGCTATAGTATTTCTGGTCGAATATTTGACTTTATTCAATCGTTCTTAACAAATCGTGTAATGAAATTCGTATTGAACGGCCACACTTCTAGATCATTTCGAATTAATGCGTTATTTACTTACTTAAATATATGTTATTTCTCATCTTCATCAACGACCTTCACGACGCCATCAGTTCCTAACTCGGTATTTATATTAATGACACAGTTATTTACTACAGTCTTAATAGTAAACCCGATAGGTTCGTCAAGGTAAAACTAGCAGCTGATCCAAAAATGACATAAAATCAGTTGTTAACTGGGGCAAGAAATGCCCCGTAAATGTAAAAGCATCTAGAACTTTAAAGCTTCATAGAAAACCATTTTTATCTTCCACCAGCATGGCTGATGCTAATCTTCCAGGGAGCAAATCATTGCACCTTGTTGGTATAAAGTTTTTCCACTAAAATGGAGTGGAATGATTATACTGAATCAATTTCTAGATTAGCTGCTAAGAAAATTGGTTCACTGTGTCGTGCCAGACAATATTCCTCGCCAGAATCAATAATAAATATTTATACATCTGGCATTCTTCCGGGAATCAACTTGTTACCAAATCTAGTCTTGTGCTCCTGATTGTGCTCAGGATTCTTGACAAAATCCAACGAAAGTTCTGTAATGCAATCGCCCCTGTCCTGGCATCTCGACTGCAGACACTTTTCGATGTTAAACATCTGCACACATATTCTTTGAAAGCCTCTCTGGTGCACTTTGCATAATATTTCACACTTATCTGTAGGAGAGATATTCTTATTTCGTCTAGAGATTAGGAGAGATTTGTTGATTTGGATTTCAAGTTTGAAAACTTATAACAAAAAGGATATTTCATTGATACAATTTTAAAGGGGTCTGCCTGATTTCTAGCGTAAATATGACGTCTTTCACAAATCTATTTTCAAAATGGAGACTTCCATACACTTAACACTTACCATATATCACAATTTATTAATATCTATCTATCTATCTGAGCATATTGATTATCTATGACAAATTGTTTATTATCTATTTTAGATTGTTCATTATCTATCTATCTAGCAATCTCAGAATTTTAATTATCACAAATTATTTATTATATATCTCAGATTGTTCATTATGTTTCTTTCTCTCTATCCCATATCTCTCTCTCTATATATATATATATATATATATATATATATGTATATATATATGCGTGTGTGTGTGTATAGCAAGCTCACTGTCATCTATCTATCTATCTATCTATCTATCTATCTATCTATCTATCTATCTCAAGCTGTTCAATTTCTGTTTATATCTCTCAGATTGTTCATTCTCTCTCTCTCTCTCTCTATATATATATATATATATATATATATATATGTGTGTGTGTGTGTGTGCGTGTGTGTGTGCGTGTGGGTGTATATAGCAAGCTCACTGTCATCTATCTATCTATCTATCTATCTATCTCAAGCTATTCAATTTCTGTTTATATCTCTGAGATTGATCATTATCTATCATCTATCTATCTATCTATCTATCTATCTATTTGATCTATCTCAAGCTATTCAATTTCTGTTTATATCTCTGAGATTGATTTATCTATCTATCTATCTATCTATCTATCTATCTATCTATCTATCTATCTATCTCAAGCTATTCAATTTCTGTTTATATCTCTGAGATTGATCATTATCTATCTATCTATCTATCTATCTATCTATCTATCTATCTATCTATCTATCTCAAGCTATTCAATTTCTGTTTATATCTCTGAGATTGATCATTATCTATCTATCTATCTATCTATCTATCTATCTATCTATCTCAAGCTATTCAATTTCTGTTTATATCTCTGAGATTGATCATTATCTATCTATCTATCTATCTATCTATTGATCTATCTATCTATCACGTCCATATAATAATCAGTTATCTTATTGTGTGATTCCCTTTAACAAGCTTTCATATCTGTGAGCGGAAACCACATCAAAATCTTTTAAAGCTCTGACCTTGGGAAATAAATTTTCTTGCAAGAGACATAAGGAATGTTAAACACAACAAACCGACAGCATCATTTGTTTTCGTGGAATTCCAGTAAATCGATTTAATTTGAATCATTGAGCGTTTAGTAAAAAAAGAAAGAAATACTTTAACTTTTCGGCTTTGATTGTATATTTGTCTTTTATAACATCGATCTACTTTTACTAGATTTGCATACATTCCGATGTATATTTTGAACATTAAGATATCTACGGTGGAGGCACGGTGGAGTAATGGATTGAGGAATCGGAGAGCAGAGTTCGAATTCCACTCGAATCTATTACATTCACTTACGTGCTAATACCTTTGGGAAAAGGTATCAATCTTCTTCTTCTTCCCCCAGCTATGGGTAAATAGGCCAGGTTCAGTCTTGTATGGCAACAGACGGGTTCTATAGCCTTGGATGGCAAATGATCTACTGCAGAAAGAAATGGCAACCTTGTCAGTCATGTATCGAAAGATACATAATCGCCTAAGCGTGTATCACTATCTATGTCATCTGGTGGATGTGCGTGCATTGTAATGGATAGCGTATGAGTATGAAAAATCGGAGAGTCGGGTTCGAATTATTGTCGGATTTGATATATTCACTTACGCGCAAATACACTTAGGATAAGTATGGATCCATCAAGTCTCCTCTCCAGTTATGGGATAAATAGTAAGACTTTTATCTCAGACAGTCTTCCAATCAAAGCTTATTCCATCTACCATGTTATTTAATTCATAACAGGAGACGAGGGAGAAGAAATGCGAATCCTGCTTTTTCCAAGAGTATTTTTTGCGACCGGAATTTGAATTCGGTTTGTCAATTCTAATGCAAAAAAAATAATTATTCTTATAGTCCAAAAATATTTCTGTTTACATAACACACAAGGGATTGATAAACCGTAAAACCAATCAATCAATCACTAAACTATATCAGCTTTAGTCATGTATTTATCGAACTAATCTCCTAATTAATAAACCGCGATTTTAATTGAATGTAACATGTAACCTTGTTTGAGACTGAGGTGTGCTTTGTTATTGAAAGTTACGCACGACTGAATATGTGTGCAAAGTTTTGGGAATTTGTAGTTCATGCCTTTCCTAAAATAATCTTTAATCGCTTTTAAGATGTTTTATCTTATTAATCATCAAAATCATGCAAAAAGAAGCTCCTATTTCAAAAGTCATGCTAGAGAGAACAAGCTTTACGAGTCATTTCAGGAAAGTAAGACTGGGCATATTAGTGATGTTCTGTTGTGGGCAGCGAAACATGGACCCCCGAGCGTTGGCCACCCGCAGAAAACATACATTCAGTAAATGTAGACAGAGGATATCAACCTGAAACCTACCAGGTGCGATGGATAATTGTGAAGGCTGGTGAGAAACAACAGTCATGAGAATGCTTACAATAGGTTTATTATTGTTGATAATGATGCATCGTTATTTTAATCATTTTCTCTCAACCATGAAGCTGAAATCTCAATTACGTTTGCTGCGAAAATTCTATTTATTGTATTTTATTTGGAAGAGATTTGAAAGTCGATATTCAACGGGTTTCCGGGAAGGTAAAAAATCTTAATCTTATTGTACTTATTTATTGCAGTATTTTATATCACAAGGTTTTAATATCTGGTATTTAATGCATGGATAACGTGCCGAAAACCATTACCCATGCATCCAAACAAAGTAGAGAGGGTAGAAAGGAGGAGGTATTGAAGAAAACAACAAACGGAAGGAAACTGTGCAGGGCCATGATCGTCCTTCTCATGAAGCAATAGAGTGAGAGTGAAAGATAGAAAGATAGAGTGAGAAAGAGAGAAAGAGAAAGAGAGAGAAAGAGAGCGAGGTAGAAAGAGAGAAAGAGAGAGAGGTGACCAGAGAGAAAAAGAGAGAGTGAGGCAGAAAGAGAAGGAGAAAGAGAAAGTGAGAGAGAGTGTATATGAGAGAGAGAGAGAGAGAGAGGCAGAAAGAGAGAAAGAGAGGGAGAGGAGAGAGAAGGAGAAAGAGAAAGTGAGAGGGAGTGTATCTGAGAGAGAGAGAGAGAGAGAAAGAGAGAGGCAGAGAGAGAGAGAGAGAGAGAAGAAAGACTGAAAGAAAAAATGAGGCTTGATGCCAAAAATAAAGCCTTTAAAATGAAATTTTCTATGCGTATCTTTGCCATTACTTTGATGAATCTTCGATGATTTTCCTTGTATTTTGACGTTTCTTCTTTTTGTACACTTCCTAACACCACCGCCACATCCACCTCCTCCTCCTCCTTCTCCCCTCCTTCTTCTTCTCCTCCCCCTCTTCCTCCTCCTTCTTCTTCTTTATAGCCATCTTACTTTTCCTTCTATTTTCTAGATCTTATCTCCTGTACCTTTAACCTAGACGCCATGATGATATGCAAAAAGATCTAAACAACAACAGAAAAGAAAAGAGAAAAACGTGAATATGTGAATATTCAAGATCATTATCGTCTGCAAAATCTGAATTTTGTTGCAAGCAGATTTGAAAAAAAAAAGTTTGATTATGAAGAAAAAAAGGCAAAATAATGGAACTGAAGAAGAGAACGAACGAGAATGAATCAAAAGACAGGTAAACAAGGACAGAAAAACTGAGAATAACGAAAAAAATCTGAAAAATGTTGAAGTCTAAAGAAAAGTATGGAAAATATACTACGAGTAAAACTAGTTTTTGTTTTAGGCCAATCGTGGAAAAAGAACACAATCAGCTACACGCACACACACACACACATATATATATAGTCATCCACAGATTGTTTTGCTGTATCACAGTTCACCAGTGTGGCTAGACATCCGATTGCTTCAAACCGTGATTGAAAACCCACTGATGCGGCATCAGTCAGAGATTCAACCCCCAAGCTATTGTCGGACGGCAGAGCGGAAACGTTTTTACTATGCGAAAGACGTCAGTAGCTAGGAGAGCAAGATTCGAGTAGAGGAGCATTGCATTAGCAGCAGCAGCAGCCACTGTTTATAAAATCACCCTTCCACTCCGAGAGTTCAATAGAATTATTTCGAGAGCATTATATATATATATATATATATATATATATATATATGCGTATGTGTGTGTAGATATATATATGTATATATATACGTAAGCATACCCTTCCACTCCGAGAGTTCAATCTAATTATTTCGATAGCATTATATATATATATATATATATATATATATATATATATATATATATATATATATATATATGAGTATGTGTGTGTAGATATATATATGTATATATATACGTAAGCATATATGTCTGTGCCTATGTATGTGTAGATATATATCTATAGATGTGTATAGGTCTGTATTTATAAATATATAATATATTATAGCCATTAAGATAACGCAGCCGTAATGTCCATCAAAATAATAACTTTGATGATGGGGAATTTAAGTGCACTTTCACTGAATAATATTGAAATAAGAAAAATAAAGAGATTAGTGATGAGAATAATGAAAATTTAAAAAAAATCTGTAAACTTTTGGTATAATTTTAAAAAAGCAAATAAGACAAATCAAAACTACCCCCCGCAAAAAAAAAAAACATTCTCAAACTCAAAAGATATAAAACAATTATTGACATATAATATGAGTAGACTCCAGGTATATACCGAACGTAACAACAAACACGCCTGAGTACGAGTGAATTATTATCTCTATTAAGAGGATGTGTATGTAGACACACACACACACACACACACACACACACACACACACACACACACACACACACACACACACACGGTAAGATGAAACACGCCAGCATCCAAATCTGATTCACCCAAGCAAGAAGGTAAACACATCCTTAAATAATGATATGGATAAATATGGGAACACGTACGAAAGTAATAATAATAAAATGGCTGTTACATTTCAGTGACAAGGAAGAGAATATGGTAGCTGAACTAATACTTCTTTAATCACCTTCGTATAAACTAATTTCTTTGGAATTTGTAATCAAAATGTCTTCGGGGATTAGAATGGTTTTTCAGAAGATAAGTCGAATTTTATTTTAGTCTTTTCTGTCAGTTTTCCCAAGACTTGTAAATTGCTCTTTCGCAACCGATCCAAGTTCCGCAGAGGAAATTAAACTCAATGAAACAATCAGACCGAATCTTAAAGAATAGGAAGAAAACATTTTGGTTCTCATCATCCGCTTTTGTCAGATCCGGTATCCACGCCGCTTTAGATAAAGGAATGGAACAATAATAATAATAATAATAATAATAATAATAATGAAATGGATTTATAGAAAAACAAAATGTTGCTTCTACAAGTTGGGAGCATGCTTTGAATTTGTAATTTAAAACGGGGATTTATCAGAGTTATCCTATTAGAATAGGATAAAGTAGTTTTTTTTTCTCTTTTCAAGAAGATACAATAAATGCTGTTTTGTGTCTGTTTTGTTGAATACAAATAATTTCTAGATTAATGGATTAAAAGAATTGGAGGATGTGCACGGAATAAAATGTATTTTGCACATAACCAATAATAAATTTCATGTGCAGAATGCACTAAACATATGGGCATACGCTTTTCATAGATTATAACACTCTCTCAAGTTCGATATACCGAAAGAATAGCGAGTGGGTTGCGACGTTTCGTCTCTGGGAAAGAGGTTGTATAGTGGAAAATAATTAAGTCGGGAAGACGTATTTCGACTTTATCAAGACTGGAAAGGGAAGACTGAGCAGCTCCAACACAAATATGGCAGCAGTATTCCATTTTTGGCCTGATTTGATGCTTGTAAAAGTAAACCATAGCAGGAGGAATCAATTATTGGAGTGGTACAGGGAACCGATATATTTTTCAAGTGTCTTTAG